CGCGCACTAGGCTACCAGAATGCAGATATAGCCATGTGTGACCTGCGCAGGATTTCGAAAGCGGGGTTCTCACTCTAAATTGGGAACTTGGATTGGGCGTGCACCAGGCCTGTCCTCCCGGCTTCTGCCCTCTGGGCCACTGGGTGGACACCTCAAGGTGTCCCTGTGAGCTGGGTCTCCGCAAACCCAGCGGCCCAACCCCAGCGCAGCTCCTGCAGACGCCCCACGACCTCTGGGCTGCAGCCGCGTTGGGACCCCAGCGCAGGGTCTCGGAAAAGTCACGCTGCACCCTGTGCACCTAGGCTCCAGGATCTGAGGGCGGAGGACATTGAGAATTAAATATATATATTTACATTTTTAATCCTCAAAGGAGCCTGCCTTCCAGGAAGAGCACCGAGGGCGCTCCAGGGTTTAACAGCGCCGCGGCTTTGACGTGCCCGAAGTCTCCTTGTCTGCGGCATGAGGTTCACAGCCTGCAGCTGCAGCGGCGGTTGGGCCCCTCCGGTGTGCAGCGCTCGATGCGGGTTTCGTTACGCCCGGGAAGTTGGCAGCCTGTAGCGCTTTCCCGCGCGCTCGTTCCTTGGAGGCCCGGCTAGGGATGTCCTGGGGCCCCCTGGCGTGTTTGGTTCCTTTCCTCTACCCTCCAAAGGCCGCGGCCGCCGGTCTTCAGTTTCCCAGACTACAAAGTGCAGTAAAAACTGCACTTTTCTCTTGAGCGCAAGGCGGAGGGAGCGGAGGGAGGCGGGATCCTGGCCTGGGAGAGGACGGCCTACCTGTCCTCAGCCACATCTAGCCGCGTCGCAGATCCTCCAGCCCAGGTCCCAGATTTGCACCGGACAGGCAGCTAGCAGAGGAAGCGAAAGCGCAGGGAACAGAGGAAAACTGTTAGACCTCGAACATCAGTCGTTCTAGAATCCCACAGCCTCAGCGTGTGGCTTTCTGAATGGAGAAACTGAGGCGTGAGCAGGGTGGTGGATCCCCTACCCGAGCGCCCCAGTCCCTGGTGGGGGTGGCAGTGGATTTCCCTCCTCTAATTATGTCCCTTGAACTCCGTGGCCGGAGGGTGGCACGGAATGCGAAGGACATTCAGGGGGCCCCAGAGTCGCCCCAGACTGCTCCCCAGCCACCCAGTCCTGCTGCCCGGCGCAAACAATCGGTGTTTGCGGAGCGCACGGTGGGCGGCGCGGCACGAGAGCGATGAGGATTCGATGGAGCCACGCGCCACAGCGGGTTGCTGGTGACCGGGCGGGCGCGGGATCGATCTGGCGCAGCTGTCGCGGAAGAGCCTGGGGAGCATCCGCGCGTGGCCCGGGAGCCCCCGACCACGCGCAGGGATCCCAACATGTCGAGCCAGCTAGGCGAGAAACCCCAACGTCGGGGCACCGTGAGTGCGGTGTTCTGGATATTCCTGGACACAGTGTCCAAGAGTAGGGGCTTGGGGCACCACGCAGCCCGCGGGGACCCCCGCCACCGAGACCAGATCCCGAATCTCGCTGAAATGAAGCCCGGAGACCGGAGGCAAGACTCGCGGTGATTGGGAACCGAAAGTTGAAGTGTCGCAGGTTTGGGGAGCTGGGGAAGATGCCATCACCGATCTCGGGCTTGAGTCGAGCTGGAGGGGACATTAGTCATCAAAATTTATTAAAACATCTCCAATAAAAGGTAGAAGTGTACACAGCACCTACTGACTTTCATTTCGGTGGCAGACAGATCCCAATCCAAGAATTAGCTGCGAACCTGGCTGGAGAAAGAAAACTTTAAAAAAACTAAAATAGGAGGACAGAGAGCAGGAAGGCAGAATGGCTCAGAAGGGGATGGATAAAGCCTAGAGACTAAGCGGTAATTCGTTGGGGAATGGTTAAGGGAGATTGAGGCTAGGGCCAGGAGGAGGCCCTGAGCCCTAGACGGTCCTACCCTGTGATCACTGGACACCCAGAGCCTTAGGATTAGCCAGTGCCCAGACTATAGTTCTTGGCTTCTTCCAGGCATGGGCTGGACACAGAGAGGGTGATTGTTGGCTTGGGGCAGCCCAGTGTGTGCTGAGGCACTCAGGAGTACATATGGGGCTCTGGGCATCAATTTCCAATTTTCCTGGAGGGGATACTGAGGCCAGAGAGCTTCTGCCACATGCTAAGATTCCCCTGGGACAGGGGGAGAGTGGGAACACCCAGCTCCCTTCCTATCCATCCCTCCCCACCCACAATTTACCTAATGACCCAGGATCGATCCAGCCCCAGCCACCGGCCTACCCTGTGGACACAGCTCAGTTCTATTTTACTAATTACTAAAAGGACGCTGGCGGGGGATGCAGGCTCTGGAGCTCCAGGGGGTCACACTGGCTTTCTGGGGCCAACAAAATTTTGTTCCAACTCCCAATGAGACCACAGCCCCTACAGAGTGAGATCTCTGTTCCTGGGGGGGGGGCTGTGTCCCCCAGCCTCAGACAGGCCACAGACACCTGGGTGCTCTGTGGCCACCTTAAGGTGTCCTGAGGCAGCAGAGTGGAGGGGACCACTCATTTCAAAGCCACAGATCCACCTATTTTCTTTCAAAATGGGTGCTTCTCCCATCAGAAAAACTGCAGTGTTCATTACCAAAATGAAAATGATAATGCAGTTGTAGGAAATATATAAAGAAACTCGAATAACCTCGAGTTCTCCCCACAGAGCTTCCAGTGCTTGGCTTTTAAAACAACTTCCTTCCGCTTTTGTTTTTCCACCAATACAGACCCCCAGCCTTGTCTCCCACCCTGACTTGGTCTTTGCTTCTGCTTCCTTGAACCCAGGCTGCTATCGTTTTATGGCGGCAATTGATTTTTAGACCCCACAATTATTTTTAATTATCTTGATTATTGCAGGATAGAGAGTTGGGGAGCTCAGACCAGGGCCTTCCACAGCCAGACTCACCCCTCCCCCAGACTAAAAAATTCAGTGTTCCAGAATCATCCCTTTCCCCCCTCTGTCTTCCCACCTGCAAGATGGGTTGATTATGTACTTAACCAGAAATTGTTAGTACTTGTTCTTGTAAATAAGTCCCAGAACTGTACTTCGGGGATGGTGCTGCCACTGGGGCAGAACATAGGAAGAACGGGGGGGGGGTGAGAAGGGGTGGCAACTGAACCACCCCCACCTCCTACTTGTGGCCTGTAGCACAGGGAAAAGGGTGTTGTGATTCCCCTTCTGGGCTGGACGAGGAGAATATGCCTGGTACACAGTGAGCACTTATGAAATGCTGAGTTCTAAGCACCAAGTACTGGCAAGAGTCTCCTCTAACCTGTTTCACCCAGAACTTGGGTCAGGCTACCCACCACTGCCTGATGCTCCTCAAGTTCTGTGTTTAGGTCAACTAGTTCCCCCCCCCGCCCCACCCCCCGCAACTCCCTGGCACTCAAAGATGGCCCCTCTCCCTCTCTGGCCAATGAGGATATCATAGCCCCTTCCCTGCCCTTTGGCTGGGGTAAGCTGGAAGGCACTCCCTTCCCACAAACCTACTCTCTGCAGAAATCACACCTACACTGGATAGCTATGTCTGCAAAGCACGATCAAGTGTTAGGCTTGAGGCTTTGACCTTGGAGGGAGGGGCCACCTAAATGGGTTGCATGTGTGGTGGGGTGTAACTCCTGATTGAGTCCTCAGGCCCTCAGCTTAGAGCCCTGGGTTTTCCCACTTGAGATGGAATTGGCCATGGGTTAAGAAGAGAGCCCTGATAGCTCTACCCTTCCATTTCCCATTGTAGAGGATGGACAATGGTTACCACAGAGCCAGATATCATGGAGAAGGCTCAGGAAAGGGCTGGGCTGAGCAGTGAAAATGGGGTTGAAGGGGACACTCAGGTCTAGCTTGGCCACTCCAGGCTCTCCTTTTTGACCTTTATCTTACCACACTGAAATGATCTGGTCCCCAGGGGTCTCTGTGATTATAGGAAGGCCCCTTCCCACCCCCCACCCCACCCTTTATCACAGTTCCTGGAGGTCCAGGGTCTCACCTGTCTCCAGGTGGTTCCCCAGCCAATGGAGAAGCCCAGGAGCAGGAGGGTTTCACAGCTGGGCTCCCAGGAGGAGAGGAGATGCATCCTCAGCCTCCCTGGGTTACAGGGTGACTGCTGCTCTTCAGTGGCTGGGGCAGGAGGGCAGAAGAAGAACGCTGGAATTGGGAAAGGCCTTTGGTACCCCTGAGGCAAGGCATTCCATTGTATGGTTGGGGAAACTGAGGTCCAAAAGGCTGTACATGGAGCGTGGAGTAGATCTTGACACCCGGGGCGAAATGTAGACTGGGCCGCCCTGCCTTGAATACCTCCTTCTTTCCCCACTTCTCCTCTGAAAAGTTCATGTCAGGGGCTTTGTGACCCCCTGTGTGTGCATGCGGGAGGCTGAGCTTGCAGAAGACACGCCTCCTGGGAGTCTGTGCAGGGTGACATGTGGATAACAGCATCTATCCAGCCATACCATCAAGCATTCCCTGAGAGGTAGTCGGGCGCCAGGCGGGAAAGTCACATTTGGACACCGGAGAGAACCATAGAGACACGAAATCAAAGACACGGAGTACCCCAGGCCCACCTAGGGGTCCTTGGACTCCCCCCCCCCGCTCAGTCCGTTGTGCCCCTGATACAAATGGTTCCAACAACTGCGTCCGCAAGCGGGCGCAGGGTTAGGGGGCCAAGAAGCCCCAGTATTGGCCCACTAAGGCGAGTTTGGCGCTGGAGTGGGTAGGGGCAGGCGGAGAGCGAGGCGGCGGGAGGCAGCAGCGGCCGGAGCAGGTGGGCGGGGGCGCTGACGTCAGACCCGGGCCCGGCGGCCGGCGGCTGTTCCTCTTCCACATCCTGGTGGCCGCGCTCGCAGCCGGGCCGGGCCGTGCGTCGCGCAGCCGGGCAGCCTCCCGCGCAGCCACCGGGGAGCGGGCTGGGGCCATGCGGCTGTCTTGAGCGCGCGGGGCCGGCGCCGAGCAGCGCGCGCGGCTGGCGGACAGCCGAGCCGGCAAGGAGCCCGCGTGCAACGGCCGAGCATGGAGCTGAGCCTGGAAAGCCTGGGGGGGCTGCACAGCGTGGCTCACGCGCAAGCGGGAGAGCTGCTGAGCCCGGGCCACGCGCGGTCGGCGGCTGCTCCTCACCGTAGCCTGGTGGCGCCCGGTCGCCCGGGCCTGGTGGCCGGCATGGCCAGCTTACTGGACGGCGGCGGTGGCGCCGGTGGCGCCGGTGGCGCGGGTGGCGCCGGCGGCGCGGGCGGTGGCGCTGACTTTCGCGGGGAGCTGGCGGGCCCGTTGCACCCAGCCATGGGCATGGCCTGCGAGGCCCCTGGCCTGGGCGGCACCTACACAACGCTCACGCCCCTGCAGCACCTGCCGCCTCTCGCGGCCGTGGCTGACAAGTTCCACCAGCACGCAGCAGCCGCGGCTGTGGCCGGGGCACACAGCGGCCACCCCCACGCGCATCCGCACCCTGCGGCCGCGCCGCCCCGCCGCCCCCGCCGCAGCGCCTGGCTGCCAGCGTGAGCGGCAGCTTCACCCTTATGCGCGACGAGCGTGCGGCGCTTGCTTCCGTGGGCCACCTCTACGGGCCCTATGGCAAGGAGCTGCCCGCCATGGGGTCGCCTCTGTCGCCTCTGTCTAACCCGTTGCCTCCCGCTCTACATAGTGCTCCGCAGCCTCCGCCGCCGCCACCGCCGCCACCGCTGGCCGCCTACGGGGCGCCGAGCCACCTGGCGGGGGACAAGCTGCTGCCGCCCGCTGCCTTCGAGTCACACGCCGCGCTGCTGGGGCGAGCCGAGGACGCGTTGGCCCGCGGGCTGCCGGGAGGCGGCAGCGGTGCAGGTGGCGGTGGAGCGGGCGGCGGGGGCGCCGCGGGGCTGCTGGCGCCGCTGGGCGGGCTGGCGGCGGCCGGGGCTCATGGGCCGCACTCTGGCGGAGGCGGCCCAGGCGGTGGTGGCGGCGGCCCGGGAGCCGGCGCGGCAGCGGAGGAGATCAACACTAAGGAGGTGGCGCAGCGCATCACCGCGGAGCTGAAGCGGTACAGCATCCCGCAGGCCATCTTCGCGCAGCGCATCCTGTGCCGCTCGCAAGGCACGCTCTCCGACCTGCTGCGCAACCCCAAGCCGTGGAGCAAGCTCAAGTCGGGCCGCGAGACCTTCCGCAGGATGTGGAAGTGGCTACAGGAGCCGGAGTTCCAGCGCATGTCGGCGCTGCGTCTTGCAGGTAGGAGCGCAGTGCTCACCACCGGACCCCAGAGCGCCAGCACAAGGCTCCTCAGCGCTGAGCCGGGCGGCACTGGGGTGCCTGGATCCCCTCCCCACGCCCCGACCGTACGCCCCGCTAGCCTGGGGCTCCTCTCAGTTGGTTAGACTGCGACCGTAGCTTCTGACCATTTGTACCTTCGCCGAAAGGAAAAAAGATTTGTGCGGTCTTCCCCTACCCCGCCGACTCCCTTCCTCTTTGGGAACCCTAGGCGTCCCTTGTCCCCTTTGTGCTGCCAGGAGAGTCTGAGCCGTTTCCAGAAGCTCTGCTCAGGATGGATAATTGTGTACGTGTATACATGTGTATATGTCTGTGTGCGCGCGCCTTGGGTGTGTGGGGGTGCTGTGTCCCGGGAAATGCCCCGTTGTTAGTGTCAGCTCTGAGTGCTACTCTTCTCCGAACCGCCTTAGACAGGGACAGTTGGACCTCTAGTCCCCAGCCACCGAGCGCCAGATCGGTACACCGCCTCCGCAGCCAAGGCTGGCCCCGCTCAATCCCCAGCCCCCGGCGCGTTCTTCTTTGTAGCTTGTCCCGGCGATCGATAGTCCCTACCCGCCCCCCCCCCCTCCGCTCTGGCCGCTGGCAAAGGTCACCCGAGAGTGGGCGGGGGAGGGGCGGCCCCGGGGACCCTCGGCTCTCGCTGGAGGCCTTCACACTCCGGCCTGGCCGGCTGCCGGGCGTTTGCTTCTTCCTTGGATGCATGCGCCCCTGCCCGCCTTGCTTTCTGGTTTTATCTCTCATTTCTACTTCTCCCTATCCGAACAACTTGCTTTTCTTTCGCTTGCTTTCCGTGGTTCTCCTTATTCTTTCTTCTCTCCGTCTGTCTCTTATCTCTCTCCCACTTAGGCATCAGCCTTCTGGGGACCCGCTCCCTCCTTCCTCCCAGCAGACAACCGTTAGTTCTACATCTGCCCTCAGCAAGGAAGTGGGTCAGCACCCTACATCCTGTGTGTTTGTGGGGATGCAAGAAAAGCCCTGGCCTAGGTAGGGGTCTTCCCTGGCCTTGTTGGGAAGGGGGCTGTGCACCCAGCAGCAGGGACAATAGCAGCTTCTAGCGCCAGATCGATTAGCTTCTCTGCACACAAGGGCGAGAAGGGCGGGGTGGGGGTGGGTGGGGGGGGCTGTGTGTGCAGGCGGGGTCTCCAGCAAGATACCCCATTATCGCAGAGGCAGGAGGGATTCAACTGTACCCCCAGCATGCCCAGCGGGAGGGGGGCTGGGGAAGAGGAGCAGCAGTTGGAGGACAGAAATGGTCCTGTGTTGTTGCCCCCCCCACAAAAAACTGCTCTCTCTCTACTCCCCAGGCCCATGGAACAACCTCCTGGAGCCTGCACCCACAGATGAACCTTGGTTTCCCCCTTCTGCAAGGCCAGGTGCCTAACCAGAACCTCCTGTGGGGATTTTTAGATTCCCCACTTTGGGACATTGGGGGAAATAAATTGTCTTTCAAGTGTGGCAGATACCTAAGTTCCCAGGGAGGTTGTTTGAACATGTTAGAAATGGCTATCAGTACATGGGCAGTTTTGTGTAAAGAACCCAACCGCTGGGTCCTGTTCCCTACCACACACGCAAGGATTTTGTGTTAGCCCCGTGGATGTTCAGTTGTATCAACACACTGCCCAGGTCTGCTCTGCTCTGCCATGTGAAAACCTCAGGTGGTAGAGAGCATATCCCATATGCTCCTCAAGACTCTAAGAGGCTCTTACCAAACCCCCATTTTGCCCCTGCCTAGCACCTCCTCTCCAGTGCATGTATTTGGGGATGTTGTGTCTGCTATGGTGTACCCAGAAGCCGTGCCACGCTCCACATTTCTACCATCTTATGTACTTAAGGTGACCAGTTAGTGGTATTTGAATGACATATTTTGGGGGGGGACACAAAAGATTGTCTATCACAGAAATAAGCTGCTGCCCAGGTGAGAAGTCCCGTGGTGGGGGGAGGAGCCTGTGTGTGGACCACCTAATGTTTAGGAGCTCTTTCACCATGTTCACTTCCCTGGCCCCATGGCCACAGGTCTCAGTGCTCCCCTTCCTATCTAGATGTAACTACAGTGGGGAAACAGGCTGGTTGCTCTTGGCATTGCCGCCTGCAAGCTCTGCAGCTATAGTGAACAGTCTCAGCTCCCTGAGTCTGTTTGCTGTTGAGGAAACATGAATTAGAATCGTGGGCACCTCACGGAGCCTAGGCGGCTGCAGGTGAGCGCAGGGCACTGAGCTTTGGGGATAATGACCAGGACCTCCCGGCCTGTCCCCGCTCTGCTGTGACCTGGCCGCGCTTCTGCCTGCTTAGGGTCACTTCTATACCTGCACATTGCCTGGGATGTCAGAAGTGGTGGCCACGGGTTGCGGGGTAATTAGGCTTCGGCCGAGGCCTTTAGTTCCGGTTGCTGCGCAAATGGAAAGCGGTTAAGTGGCGGCAAATCGCAGCGTTTAGGGGGAGGCGACCGGCGCGTCCTACCCTCAACAAGCCGTGCAGCCGGGTGATGGTCGAAAGCGTCTGCAGGTGCTCGAGCCGCCTGCAGCGAGAACCACCTCAGACTATCCTCCAAGGAGGACTTACCCTTCCTCCTCCGCCTCCCCGATCCGCGCAGCGAGATCCGCCGGCGGCCTCCTCCCCGACCCAGAAAGTTTCCGCCCCTTGCGCGCCAGCCTTCTCGGCCCTCGCCACTGTCCCCAAGCCGCGGAGTGTCCCATCAGATGCGGGCCAAGGGAAGGGACAAAGACGGGTAAAGACACACATGTGCAGCTAGAGAAGGGAAAAGAGCGATGGGGAGGAGAGAGAAGCAGAGAGAGAGAGAGAGAGAGAGAGAGAGAGAGGAGAGAGAGAGAGAGAGAGAGGAGAGAGAGAGAGAGAAGAGAAAGAAGAGAGAGAAGAGAGAGAAATGAGAAGAAAAACCAAAACAGAGAATAATACTAGGAAGGAAAAAATGAGCTGGGAAGACAAAGAGAAAAACAGAGGCAGGAAAAGGGGAGTTGAGAGCGTTCTGGGGCTACAGGATCTCACATACCCAAGCCATGTCCTCATCCCTCCATTCACTACCTGGTTCCAGGTCTGGCAAGCCTCCCTTGGGTATCTCAGGGCAGGGGAAGGAGCAAAGAGGGAGTCACTGTTTTCTTTGTTTCATGGAAGTATACAAGAAATCCTACAAATATCTGAGTCCCAGATCCCGATGCATAGTCTGCGTGCCTCAGTTTACCCATCTATGAAAGGTGTGTTTAGAGGAGTGAGACCCAGGTTCTGACTCTACCTCTCTGTGATTCTGGGACCCGCCAGTCCAAGTAAGACCCATCCTGCAGTGCCCCCCCCCATCCTATTCCCACCAAACTGGGAGCTTTGCCCCTCCAGCAGCATATCAAACTGTGATTATGGGAGAAGGGCTGGGGGAGGGGCAGCCGGCTCCTGGCGGGTGGGGGCGGTCGATGAATTCGAATTACCGTCTCTAATTCATCACCGTCGCAGGGTCGATAGCTTTGGCCGTTTTCAAATATTGTTTAAATTGCAACTCCGGAGGAAAAGTATTTTTTGTAACTGATCAGAAAAAATATACATATACATAATAAAATATCAGGAGGCAGCTGAAGAAAGGGACCTGTGTCTCTTCCTCCTTGTCCTCAACTGTTGGGAAGGCAGGAGCCCAGAATCCCTGAGGGATGGTGGAGACCAGAGTGGGGGAAACTGAGGCAGGGAGGGACCCCCCCCACCCCAGGCCCCATGGGATGCTTAGCCTCTAAATGAAACAAATTGTCCTCAGGATAAAACCCAGAGCTGGTTCTGGAACCGAATGCTAATGGCGCTGGCATAGTAATGGCACATTTGGTGGGGGGAGGGTGAGCAGGAGCTATAGAGGCTGCGTCCCAAAGGATCTGGATATGGAAAGGAAAAATGAAGAGGCAACAGTCTGCCCTCCAGACTTGTCAGGTCCTGCCCACTCCACCCTGCTTCCTCCATCCTGGATGGAGAAGAAAAGGGAGAGTCCATACCACCACGAGCACTGTGGCACTTTGCCTCTGGTGAAAATCTCACTGCCCACTGGCCAGAGGTGCCTCCAGAAAAGAGGTCCCAGAAAAGAGGCCATAGCCCCACCAGGCAGGAGAGAGAACTGTCAGGTTGCTTGGGGAGCTCAGCGATCTGGGCCTCACATGGGCTTTGTCCCTGACTTATCTTGGGCAGAGTCTGAGTCTCAGTTTTCTCATCTGAGAGATGGACACAATTACAGGAACCCCTCAGAGTAGCCAGGAGTGCTGGAGAAGATTGGGGTCTGCAGACTCACATGGGCTGCAGGTGGGGGGAGAAAAGCAGGCATACCCTGAGAAGTGGGCCAGCTGGGATGCCCCAGGCTCACCCACAAGGGACAAGAGATGGAACCCTCTAGAATGATCTTTTAAACTGGATGCAGTGATTATACCCATTTAACAGAGAATCCAGCTGAGGCTGAGACAAGGAAAACCATTTGCCAATGTCCCACACCCTCTTTTTGATGACGAGCCAGGCTGGACGATGGCAGACAGCCCACCCAGCTTCCGTAAATGGAGTGAGGCAGGATGCCTCCACCCTCTGATGCCAAGCCTGGTGGAGTTAAGGGCCAGGGTGTGTGCCCAAGTTTCTTGATATCCTAGGGGTGGCATTCCTGGCAATCTGGACAAAGGTGAGGAAGTTCCTCTGGGCATTGAGACCCAGGACAGCAGCTGGGTGGCTCTGAAGCAGGATGAGGAGAAAGTGACCCTTCTGTGGTGAGCAGCAACCAGCTCTGCCTCTCCACCTCATGGCAGTCACCATTTGCTTGTTTTTTTTACAGGTTGTGAGATCCATGTTTGCCCCTTGGGCTCCCTGATGACAGTATTGTGGGCACATGAATCCCTGTTCTCCACTCTCCACCTCCCCTTAGAGCCTAGCAGAGGCCTTCAGAGAGGAGTGGGGACAGCTTCCAGTCTCCTCCTTTCCAGCTCACGATCCCCACTCAG